TATATATTGTTCAGTTTTGAACCTAGTCAACTTTTTAATTGACGAAGACCTAAGTCACTTGTCGAAGCGTCTTAACATATTTTTAAATAAACGTAGTTTTTAACGTTTTTATCAAACTAGTGTCAAACCTTTCTACATCTCAATAATATGTCTAATCCTGGTTACAATTTTAACATTTTTAATATATATATATATTTATATATATATATATATATAGTCAATAGGTCAATTTATCTGAAGAGTGCCACATACTGTGGTACGAAACTATTTAGTTATAAAGATGCCTAGTGGATTTTGTTGATTTGTTGTACCTTAATTTATATATATATATATATATATATATATATATATATATATATATATATATATATATATATATATATATATATATATATATATATATATATATTGTTGGAATGTAGGGCACCTTGTTGATAACAGCATTACTTGTAACGCTGAAAGGTTTCCCCTATACTAAAATAAAGTTTTTCATATTCATACTCATAGATTGCAGAATCGCTTATATCCGCGGTAACCAAAGTATGTCAATACCTGTGAAATATTTAATATTTCTTGAACTGAATCGGTAACATACAACACCTGACCACGATCACACTCAACAACAATGATAAATCCGCCTGCTGCCTCTGTAATTAGGTTCCTCAGGTCATCATCTGACATGAAACTGGGCTTGTGATTTGTTTCTTTCAAAGGTTCTGCTGAACCTATAAACAAAATGTTGTGAAAGTTTATAAGTGGAGTAGTGACAACTATATTTATTATACACTCACGCGCACTTAACCAATCAGTAATCGTTGAGAGGGTCACGTGCCGATCCAATATTTTACGATATTGGACAGGAACCTACTGGACAGTTGCGAATCGTGGCATTTTTCATGGTTTCTCAACCCTTTTCAGATGTTATGTCAATTTCAAACATACGACAAGCGATATGGCAGAATAATGAAATGAATTTGGGACATTAATACAGTTTTTTCTACCAGTTTTGTTTAAAATTATAAAAGCGCCGGAAAACTTGTCTTCCAGAAATTCATTTGTTTGCAACATCCTCGACGTTAGTAATATTATTTTTTTGTTAAAATTAGGTCAAATTTCCTTTAAACATGATGGAATATTGAGTTTATTTATGCACGCATATTAGTAAAAACAAGTTTATTAACTTTTTGTTTGGTCATTTAAGCAAATTCGCCGCCGATATATGTATAGTAGCCTAATGTTGTCGCTGTTTTATTCTCGCTGTGTTACTTTTATCGCTTATTAACAATTTTTTGTTATAGAATTGTTTTCATTGTTTAATACATAATAAAACTCTTATTGGATTCATCTTCGCCCAATATGGCAAAACAATAATTCTGATATCCTGCTCAGCCTCATCCATTAATTCTTAATTATCAAGATACTACACAAATCAGGCGCCGGTTGTATAAAAAAAGTAGTTAAAGTTAACTGCATGCAGTTATACTGTAGTTAGTTAACTACATGACTTAACTGCGTTGCACAAAACGTAGTTAGTCGGATAGTTAACTAATCACGCAGTTAGCTGTGCGTGGGGCGTTTAAACATAAAATTACATAACGTAACCCACGATTAACGACTGCTGACGAGCATTTTTAACATTTAAAGTGTGTTCGTTCACTGCAACCAGCTATATCAATCATGTTTCGCTCGCTACTCTGGTTCACTGAAATAAATGATTACAAAGCCCAGTCGAATTGTAATCAAGACCCAACATTTCGACACTCCAGTCTAGTGTTTTCATCAGGGGTGATCTAAAATTGCAATCTTGGCTTCTTAAATACCCAAGGTATGACGTCACCTGCCAATGAGATGCATATATTCCTCTGGCGAATAGGCACCGTCATCCCTACTCAAAGCATGATTACACTGTAAAAACTGATACAGTAGGTTAAAACAACCTATTTCTAAAGGTTGTAACCAATAATTAAAGGTTGTTTTAACCAATTGAATGGGTTAGAACCGATTTAAATTAGTTAAAATAACCTATTATTATCAGGTCAAATTTTGCGACCAATAAAAATAGGTTAATTTAACCAATCTTTTTGGTTAAGCAAATTTACCGATTGGTTATTATTCCCAAATAGGTCATTATAACCATTATGATTAGGTCAAAATACTGAAAACTAAACTAACCTATATGAAATATGTTGAAATATTTAGTTCGACTTATGACATATACTTTCAATTTCAAGGAGTTATTCTCACTTCACTCAGTTAAAAGCCATTTATTAAATCGTATAGTAGAAGTGAAATAGTGAGTAATTTTCCACCAAGTTTTTACTCGGCCTGTGTATTATAACTCGACCATCACACATAGGAATGACAAAAACTATATTCAACTGAGTTTCTTCAACCTAGAATTAGGGCGATATTTTCTATACAAATTCGGAGTGAAGGACTGCAGTTCGTGTAAAATCAACCCAAGATTTAATTCAGCTGGTTGACGCGCCGTTTTTCTCGAATATTGCCAAGTCAGATTCTTGTAGTTGTATTACAAGTATATCGGACCATATCGGCTTCTTATTGTTCGATCGCACACGACGATCGAATGTAGCCAGAAATTGTCAGCGAGTTTTTCTTGTCAAATTGATTTAACACCAGCATTGCTCTCATCTATATTTTTTGCTGCGTAAATCTCTATTAGTACCCGCGTTTGTCAGAGATTCTGTAATTTGAACTTGTGGAATGTTTTGCTTGCTGAATATAATTTTCAACAAGTGGAAATTCCAAACTTTCAACCAATTAACATGCTTAGAATATATCACGTGTTGTAGTAATTCGATCTGTATTACACATTGACAACAACTCAACAAGCGCCAAGTTCGATCTTTTGAGAGCAAGCATTCAAAGGAGAAGATTTTTATTCAAATTTTCTATTATAAAGTTCGAAAGACCTAGTAAAATACATGGAATTTGAAAGGTATGTCTATTGTGTATTTACTCATTTGTATGCGGATAGTTACTTGACTTACTGTAGTTATATTTTTATTAAAATCGAAGGCCTGTATTTTATATTAGTCGCTTCGCCGCCGATTCACTGAAGGTATCTGGACGTTCAGTTGTAAATTTTCGATTAATTTCTATTAGCAGAAGTCTATAAGTCTAATCTACAGTCTCCACGTATATGTGTTGTTAAGAAAATCGTATAGCTTATTTGTGTGATATGCATTTGTATGTTGTAATTTTTTGTTAAATATTTGCTATAAAGAAGATGCTTGTGATGTTACTTCGAGTATGTGATATTTCGGAACAGAATCTAGTTCCTTTGATACCAATGTAATTTAGTAGTCATGATATTTTCTGTGTTGATGCAATGTACTCAGGTGAATATATGCTTGTGATGTTACTCTGAGACTCAGAGTAACATCACAAGCTTATATTCACCTGAGTACATTGCATCAACACAGAAAATATCATGATGAGTGCATATCCACACCGGGCAAGCTTGAAAAATACGCCTGTCCACGGTGGGAATCAAACCTGTGGACAAATTTAGAACTAGATTCTGTTCTGATTAATATCACATTCTTGAACCACAGTTAAGGACTTTGACAAAACCATGCAACTCTCTAGCCTGTGTGTCAGTAACAGTGTAGTCAACTGGAACACAGGCTATAGTAACACAAAACGTACTACTGTGTACTTACTGTAATTTTAGATGTTACAAAATATATTTTTATATACAGTTCATAATATTGTTTGATTATAGCGTACTTGGATGATTAATTGCCTGCAGAATTATTGTTTAGCTATTTCGTTTTAGCGCATCTTATTCAGTTGACGCAACAACATTTGACCAACGAAAGTGCGCGATGTTTCGTACTTCGACTTTGACCGTTATTTACTGGTTGTTATAACTAAAAAAATTGGCCAAATCAACCAAAATATTATTGGTGAATATCCGTACCATTTGTATTATAGTTAAAACAACCTATATTTATTTGGTTGAAATATGCTCAATTTGACAGTTTAAATTTTAGTCATTTTAACTTTTGAATATAGGTTGGAATTACCTTTTTTAATTGGTCAAAATAACCATAAATTTTTAGTTCAATCAACCAATAATTAATACGTTAAAATGACATATTACAGATTTATAGGTTAAAGTAACCATTTTCTATGGTTTGTTTTAACCTATTTAATTTTAGTTGTTTTAACCTATTAAAACAACCTATTTCTTATGGGTATAAACCAACCCATTTTTAATGGTTTGTTTTAACCTATTTAGTTCTGGTTCTTTTAACCTATTGAAATAACCTATTTTTATCGGGTTGTCCTAGACCAAACCAAATAACCTATTTTTTTTGGTTATTTTAACCTATCAGTTTTTACAGTGTACTCATATTTATTTGACAAAAAGTCTTTGACCGATTGTTTGTGGTAATTACTTTAGAGTTTTCCCACGCAATCTCGTGTTTGGTGTAACATACAGTACAGGCCTTAAAATATCTTTTGCAGGGCCGTCTGACAAAATGTCCGGTGACGTTGAGTTTGGGTCGGACATATGTCCGATGACCTTCAGTTCAGTTTTGACTCGGAAATAAGTCTGAGTGCCGACACAAATGAATAAACGGTAAATGTTGTAAAGATATTAAATAATTTGTTTCTTTCATACTTATTTCCAAGACAAAATTAACTTGATTGCCAGTACAGCAGTGTTAAAAAAGACTTCGACAATTACTTAAACCCGTTTTCCACTTCACCATTTCGCTCGCCGCCCTGTGCTCGACTAGGTTAAAACAATATTTCCAGTTCACTTTTTAGACAATAATACTCTGATTTTCCATTTAACATACAAGCCTCTAGTCCTGGGTCCGGTTGTATCAAGCCCGTTTAGCTTAAACGGTGGTTAAGCTCAAAATAGAAAGCAAGGCCATAGATTCATTCAACAACCAAACTAAAAGTTTTGAACCTTAATAGAACGATAATGTTTACAACTACATATTCAGTGCAGAATATTTAAGTTGACTGATTCACGAGAGATATAAGAGTGTTATTTAATTTTGACTTATCCCTGCACCGTTTAAGCTAAACGGGCTTGATACAACCGGCCCCTGGGCTAGGGTACATTTTGATTTACGTCGGACAAAGCTACAGTACGGTCGGACACCAACTTACTTGGGTCGGACAAACAATAAACCTCAGTTTCACTTTGGTCGGACAGAATGTCCGGTGGTTTCCTCTCTACATCGGACAATTACGTGAATGGGTCGGACAATGTCCGTGACCGACCGATATTTTAAGGCCTGCATACATGTTCGGCTAAAGCTGATTTTCCCTTGTCTAAAGTTGATACAGACTTTTGATGTTCTTTTAGCCATGTACCAAACTGGCGTTTAGACTGACCCAAATACTCTTTCTCGCAGTCACCGCATGGTATAGAATATACAGTGAATGTATGGAACTATTACTATATTCTATACCATGCGGTGACTGCGAGAAAGAGTATTTGGGACAGTCTAAACGCCAGTTTGGTACACGGCTAAAAGAACATCAAAAGGCTGTTTCAACTTTAGACAAGGGAAAATCAGCTTTAGCCGAACATGTATGTTACACCAAACACGAGATTGCGTGGGAAAACTCTAAAGTAATTACCACAAACAATCGCTATGGTCAAAGACTTTTTGTCAAATAAATATGAGTAATCATGCTTTGAATAGGGATGACGGTGCCTATTTTCAGAGGAATATATGCATCTCATTGGCAGGTGACGTCATTCCTTGGGTATTTAAGAAGCCACGATTGCAATTTTAGATCACCCCTGATGAAGACACTAGACTGGAGTGTCGAAACGTTGGGTCTTGATTACAATTGAACTGGGCTTTGTAATCATTTATTTCAGTAAACCAGAGTAGCGAGCGAACCGTTTTTAACATGATTGTGGACTCGTATTTTGCAAATGGCGGGAATTTTATTCAATGTAATTATGGAAAAACAAACAAGAAAACAAGGCATGCAAAACTACCGCAAAATCACAAAAAGCAGTAAGATGTCCGTAAGATGTCTAGTTTAAACCAAAGTGTAGCTGTTTGGCAATTATATATCAGTGTTTTCTTGTGTAATGGGTCCTAAAACGCCAAAAAACGGAAGCGTTAGCGTTTGGAGAATTATCAGAAAACATCTACTGGCAGGTAAGTGTTGCTTTTCATTATTGTTACTCTGAAAAGTTTGGTTCACTCCTATGCAAGCGCCATTTTTAACTATGTTTTGAGAAGTTAACGATACCTTAGAGTATATTTAACTTTAAGTCTTTAACTACTTTTTAACTGCAGTTAACGCTAACTAGATTTTTACACAACCGATTAAAGTTAACCACTATTTAATTACAAAACGGATAATTAAATCGTGAGTTTTAGACAACCGGCCCCAGCCAATATTACAAGAACAACATATAACTTAGCTAAAAAGTTTGTATCACGATCTGGAGTCTAATATACGCATGCGCAGAACGGACTGTATACAGCATCTTTAACTATATGTAGACGGCCCTGAAGGGGTACAAATGGGAACTGGAATTGGCCTATTTTTGGACTGGGAAAATGGCATATGGGTTACTGGGACTGGAAACTATAGACACAAAAATGGGAATAGGAAAATTACGCATTATAAAATAAGACAGCTGTAGTTGGACATTTAAGCAACTTTTAATTGAGACTTTGTCTAAAAATGTCAAAATATAAAATAAAGTCATGCTCAGGCAGGCACACACTTGTAACTACCAATTGAAATCAGTCTAACATAATGTCTCACAGGCTGTTCGAAAGCAATCATCATTTGTGTCACAGAAATAATTGATTACCTCCAGAGAATACAGTAAAGTCAACAATTCAAGAATCAACACAGTCGGGTTTATTTGTTCAGATTTCCCAATGGATTTGCTCATGGTCAATCAGAAAAGCGAAACAATTGACCATTTGCGTAATAGACTAAATTTTGAACTAAACAAGTCTAGACAAAAATTTCATCACAGCTTGAAGGAGCATCACAAAATTAGTAATATTCCAAAGTTTCGTTGCAAAACGTTGTAAAATGCGGAAAATATAGCCTTGTGAAATTTGCAATTTTCAGTCATTTTAGATTACAAACGGGAAATTGACAGCCTCGAAGGGTTTGGGGCTGTCAATTTCCCGTTTGTAATCTAAAATGACTGAAAATTGAAAACTTCGCAAGGCTATATTTTCCGCATTTTACAACATTTCGCAACGAAACTTTGGAATATTACTAATTTCGTGATGCTCTTTCAAGCTGTAATGAAATTTTTGTTGAGATCAAAATTTAGTCTATTACGCAAATGGTCAATTAAGGTGGAGCAGTCGTCAGAACAAGGCCTTTCACCTCTGAAATCGTGGGTTCGATTCTTGCTACGGACGTACGATCAACGCTCTGCCGAAAGTTGTGGGTTATCTCCGGGTGCTCCGGTTTCCTCCCACAGGGAAGGTTGACAGGGTGGGTTAGGCTAAACACAGTTAGGAAAGTAATATCTCAATTATTGTAAAGATAAATAGTCTAGGCTAAGTAAATAACATAAGTAATTGTAATACTTGATGTAATCGGTCACTGAAAAACCCCAATGGGGAGTGAGCTAAATAATAATGTAATGTAATGTACTGTAAAAAATTGTGATTATGAATTTTTTTCTGTGTTGGTGTTGTGTACTCAGGTGAATAATATGTTTGCGATGTTACTCTGAGTGCATATCCACACCGGGCGAGCTTGAAAAATATGCCCGGCCACGGTGGGATTCGAACCTACGACCTTTGGAATACTAGCCCAATGCTCTTCCAACTGAGCTACGCGGTCAGGACGGTTCGAGTAAGTGATATTTCGGAACAGTATCTAGTTCCTTCAATACCAATGTGTTCTAGTAATATGATTTTTTTTTCTGTGTTGGTGTTGTGTACTCAGGTGAATAATATGTTTGCGATGTTACTCTGAGTGCATATCCACACCGGGCGAGCTTGAAAAATATGCCCGGCCACGGTGGGATTCGAACCTACGACCTTTGGAATTTTATGTACTGTACCTTGCAAAGCTTTCATATGTTGAACTGCAAATCTCAAAACTGTCAGTTTATCAGGTTTCTTGCCCACTGATGGAGGTAAAGGAATCATTGTGGATAAGTCATTGATATACTGGTTCATTTTATCCCGACGTCTTTTCTCAATCTCGCTATGAGAATTCCTAAATTGGAAGTAAGTCAAATATAAATGAGGTACGGGCCATAGGAACAGTTAGCTTGCGCGCTATGCTGCTGCAGTCCACATATGTGGACCGCAAATAGTCGGGCACTAGTCCGTTAAGTGATTTGTAGACCATCGCAGCTTCTTGAAACTTGCGCTCGGAGCCAAGCTTCCTCCACTGTCATAGCTAGAAGATATTAATATTGATTTTACAAGTCGACTCGACAGAAGCCCTCGATCATCGCTAAGATTCGCGCACTTTAAGAAATTTAAGCTCAAGCGCGCAGGTAAATACTGTAATACGAGTCGACTTGTGTATAGCAAGTCCAGGCCGACGGCTATGACGTTCATGAAATTCGTCATACTGTATATGACAAGAGAAATCTAACGTTGCCTGGGCTTTTTGTAGCGTATTTTACAAATTGAAGTCTCAGAGTTGTCAGAGTCATCAAACTACTGTATATAACTACTGTAGTTGGTCATTGCAATGAACACATGCATAATTAATTTAGATGGGTTCCGTTGTTTTGGGGTAACAGGCGTTGTTTTTTTCGGGGAGAGGAAGCACCCGGTATAACGCTAGCATTTCAAGCCGGTCAGGAGAGGTAATGTAGTTGATTAAAATTGTTCTACCCTGATAAACTATTGCTAACCTTCTGAAAATATATTAAATTCAAACAGCTGCGGCGTAGAAAGATACAACTACAACTTATAGAAATGAGCAGAACTTCTACGTTTCGTTAATTATTGGCTGGATTTGAAACTGGGTTTGGAATAGTGGAATAGCATGTCACAATTTAATTCACGAAAATTGTCTTGCACTAATAAGTGTTTAATGAAATCGTATTCACGACTCTGCAGGAGTAGGGTCGAGTGGGATAGACAGGGGCTTCTATTACAAAATTCTAATATCACTTGAGCATAAATTAGATACGGCCGAGCATACATATATTACATAATTTGCGTGGTACAGTGAGTACAATTACTATAACTATGTACTTACTTTTTATCCACCTCCATTTTTGAATTCGAAGTGGTAGCAAGACGGTCTGAAAGAAATAATTGATACGTTCAGCTCTGACTGCTTCTGTGGAAAGTTTACATGCAACCACAAAATTCAAGGTGTATATTTACTGTAATTACAGTTAAGTTAGTTTTTAATAGTTACTGAATAGGCTACCATGTGTAAAGATTTTGATTAATAATAAAAAAAAAAAATACGGGGTACACAATTTAAAACATTCCGGAAAATATGGAAAATGTCGATAGTGCATTTTTGGCAAGCATTTGAAGGGTTTCATCATTTAGTACGCAGTGGAAACGAAATGATTCGCAATTTTTGACAAGAAAATTATTAACTAATGGCATTGAGAAATTACTATTATGAAACTATGAAAGTAATGATTCTTCCACATGTTGCCATTGTAGGTGTATATCGAGTTGTAAGTGTTGATGTTTGTGTACTTCTCAGTTCAACATTTTCATTGGTGACTTTAATTAATATAAATTAGTTGAATAAAACCAATAGAAGGCTATATAATTTCGTAAGGTTACATAATTTCTTTATCAATGATCATAACTATAGACAATTGGTGTCTGCTTTCATTACAGACAAGCAGACTTTGATAGATCATTTTTATACAAATTTAGCAGAGTCAGAAGCTAAGTCACACATATTGGAAACATTTCTCTTAAAGCCAAAGTAATAGTGGCTGCATAAAGAGCAGAGATTCAGCTTTAGATTGGAATATCAATACTTATAGTAACAGTTGCAACCAGTCATAATTATCAACTTATACAACGCAGTATATACTATATATCCTGGAGGGGGTGCTCCCCTCTTCATCCACCCTGATTTCTGCAACTGAATGTCACTATATTGTCTTATAATCAACAACAACCATATGTCATAATGGGATCTTATATAAACGGGGTCTTATATTCGGGGGCAGGAGAGGTTATATTCGGTGGTTTATGGTATTTTCCATGGGCAACCACTCACCAATATGTTGCACATGGTCAAATGCCAGGCTGGGCAGAGTGACCTTGCATGAACTTCCCAGTTCCCACCCATACATACAGAGCTGCTCATCTTCGGTCAAATGCTCAGGGGGTGGGAAGTGCATGATTATGGTTGGATTTGATTCATACATAGTGGTTGGGTCCATACCTGACAGCAATGTATTTCAATTAAGGTTGGCTCCATTAATAGTCAAATGTACAACCCAAGAGTATAATGCGAATGGGATATTTAAAGGTTTAAAATACAGAGTTTTAATATATTTGTAAGCTGTTTGGTGCACATTCTATTTTTGTACTGGCAATAGACCTTTCCCCTTACAACCAAAATTTTGATCTAGGCAAGTCTAGACAAATATTTCATCAAAGCTTGAAAGAGCATCACAAAATTAGTAATATTCCAAAGTTTCGTTGCGAAATGTTGTAAAATGAGGAAAATAGAGCCTTGCGAAGTTTGCAATTTTCAGTCATTTTGCATTACAAACGGAAAATTGCAGCCCCAACACCCGAATCGTATGTCAATTTTCCGTTTGTAATACAAAATGACTAAAAAACGGCAAACGTTGCAAGGCTATATTATCCGCATTTTACAAGATTGTGCAACAGAACTTTGGAATATTACTAATTTTGTGATGCTCATTCAAGCTGTGATGAAATTTTTGTCAAAATCGAAATTTTTGTTATAAGGGGAAAGGTCCATTTGTTCCCAGCTCTGATATGCCAAGCATGAAATAATTACAAAATAAACACCCCTACCCAATCATGTACAAAAGCTGCAGCAAATGGGCAACAAACATAAAAAACACATGCAAAACAGTCTTTTTAAATTATATTTAAAAAATTAAAAACTCTTTTCAAAAAGTCTTTTCAAAAATCTTATGATGAAAATGAGCATTATATGCATTATGCCCAGCCATAATGATTAATGTATAGATGGCTAACAGAAATTCGTGGTTATTAATATTATTAACTTCATCACAAATGTTAATAAACTGACACTCATATACATATATTAACATGTTACAAGAAAATGTACATGACTGGGATGAGGATTGTGTCATTGGTGTAACTTCGGCTAAGTTTGGCAGCTTGCCGGTGCAATACAAAACTTTAAAAGCAATAGTGTTAATATGAATCGTGAATCAAAATCAGTTCTGAAGTTTTCGCGCCTGGTTTTTAAGCTTCAAAGGAAATAGGATTTTTGCTTTAAAATAGCACTGGCAGGAAAACAGCTTTGGCATATGTTGGCAATTGCTTTGGCGCACCTCCAGCATGATGTCCAATAACATGGAATCCACCCTGAATTTGCAGGTTTGATTCCTGTCAGGGACCAAAAGTTGCATTTTTCGCAGGTGTTCCTGGTCAGGTCTAATAAATATATATAAATTTCCCCTCGACAATTTCCATCTACAATACACATCTAATTTCAGGCCTTAAAATATCTTTTCCAGGGCCGTCTGACAAAATGTCCGGTGACGTTGAGTTTGGGTCGGACATATGTCCGATGACCTTCAGTTCATTTTTGACTTGGAAATAAGTCTATATGACACAAATGAATAAACGGTAAATGTTGTAAAGATAATTTGTTTCTTTCATACTTATTTCCAAGCCAAAATTAACTTGCTTTCCAGAACAGCAGCATCAAAACGACTTCGACAACTTAAGTAACATTTCCAGTTGACCTTTGATACAATAGTACTCTGATTTTCCATTTAACATACAACCCTCTAGTCCTGGGCTAAGGTACATTTTGATTTACGTCTGAATCACGGCATTTACATGGATAACATTTAAAAAATCGTAGATCGGTAATTGTTTTTCGGTTTATTACTTCCCAGGGAATTTATTAATTTTAAGCGGCTACATTACCCATGACAAACCGCAAAGAATCATATTACCCATATACGCCTTCGCGCATTTAGTTCTTCTAAATTGTAAGCAAATAATATTAATTGTAAATTTCGACGTGCTAAAACTCTGTTTTCTGACCATCAGAATTCTGTCAAAACTTCCCCCAAAGTTCACGAAATGGCATTTCAGAGACTCTAAATTAAAAAATTTCCTCGGGCCTTCGGCCCTCGCCACCCCCTTATAAAAAAGAACTTCCTACGGAACTGCACGCTTTTGTAATATGTCTGTCCATAAAATATGAGTATTTTTGTTTGTAAGTTGTGTTTTCATTTTCATTTTTCGGATAGCAAACACCTTCGTGGCTTCGTATGCCATGAAATATTCGGAAATTTCTTTCGTCATTCGGAAATATTTTGCCTACACCCCCAACTATGCATGCTTAGCTACGGCCCTGCTTACGGTTACAGCTCAACAGCTGGCCTCTGTAGCTCAGTTGGTTAGAGCGCTGCACCGGAATCGCAGGGACGTAGGTTCAATTCCTACAAGAGAACCTTGTGCTGCATTTTTCGCAGTCGTTCCTGGTCAGGTCTTAAAATGTATATAATCACTTGGATTACAAACCCTAACATTCTAATATTAATTCCACCAAGTGAAGTGCAAGAAACCACATCATTCAAGTCCACCTTATCACAACCCGCACAACCGATTACCTAGTATATATAGACATGAACTTACGGTTACAGCTCAACAGCTGGCCTCTGTAGCTCAGTTGGTTAGAGCACTGCACCGGAATCGCAGGCCCGTAGGTTCAATTCCTACCAGAGGACCTTGTGCTGCATTTTTCGCAGTCGTTCCTGGTCAGGTCTTAAAATGTATATAATCACTTGGATTACAAACCCTAACATTCTAATATTAATTCCACCAAGTGAAGTGAAAGAAACCATGCATGCACATCATTCAAGTCCACCTTATCACAACCAGCACACCCGATTACCTATATATACATGAACTTACGGTTACAGCTCAACAGCTGGCCTCTGCAGCTCAGTTGGTTAGAGTGCTGCACCGGAATCGCAGGGCAGTAGGTTCAATTACTACCAGAGGAATCTAATGTGCTGCATTTTTCGCAGTCGTTCCTGGTCAGGTCTTAAAATGTATATAATTACTTGGATTACAAACCCTAACATTCTAAGGGGCCGATTACATGGAGCATTTTCAACCCCGGGGTTGAACTCAGCCCTGTTTACCGGGCTGAAATTTCAGCCCTGTCTGTAATACAAAACTCTATAAAAATCAAACACGCGATTACATGACAAAATTTTCAACCCAGGGCTGAGTTCAACCCCGGGGTTCAAATTTCAACCCTGCTTCAGCTAGCAGGGTTGAAATTTCAACCCCGGGGTTGAACTCAGCCCTGGGTTGAACTCAGCCCTGGGTTGAAAATTTTGTCATGTACTGTAATCGTTTCAACCCAGGGCTGAAATTATAATGAGTTATTCGAGCATGCATGGTAGTGACTATTTATTACAAGAAAACAAAATAAAGGCTTTTTTACTTCCGCGAATCGATGCCGAGAACGTATAGTATCACGTTTTAACCCCGGGGTTGAAATCGTCCATGTAATCGCAAAAAATTTCAACCCGGT